TACACACAATTGCCTGGATGGGATATGTACAAGACAATAGATTGTCTATCTAACTGTCTGACTAAAACTTACTGTATATGTATATTGATGTGTGTTACTGTGTCTGTCAGTCTGTCCATCTATCCGTGTGCCTGTCTTTCTGTATGTAATTTAATTTTTTCTTTTGCCAACACAAATAGAAAAAAAATAAAGCTTAAATCACAGCATTAATTGTTTACCATTATTTAGGTCAAGTTTCATTGTCAGTGGGTCGTTTAATGTTTTACCGAGTCATACTACATTCCATTAGGATTTTGCAAATGTAATCTAAACTCTCTTTAAATAGATCAATGGTCGGCATAATAAAAAGGTTCTGGCAATTATTACATTAAAAATGGTATATTATTAGCTGTAGGGTACTGGGCAACAGCTGATGTACATAAAGATTTTTTTCTGAAAAAAGCTTGTTATAGAAAACATCTTTTTGTAAAAAATGTTATTTTGAAAAGCTTATTTCTGAAAAAGTTTTTTTTGTGGAAAAGCTTTTTTGAAAAAGCTTGTTTGTTAAAAAGCTTTGTGAAAAGCTTGTTTTTTAAAAAAGCTCTTCTATAAAAAAGCTTGTTTGTGTGAAAAAGCGTTTCTATAAAAAAACTTGTTTGTGAAAAAACTTTTCTATAAAAAAGCTTTTTTGTGAAAAATGTTTCTATTTAAAATATTTCCTGTGAAAGAGTTTTATGATAAAGCTTTTTATTGAAACACTTTTTTCTAAAAAAAAATATTTTTGTTAAAGAGCTTTTTTGTTTAATCTCTGATTGTTAACATTTTTTATTTGCTCCAAGTGCCGACCACCGGCAAAGTTACATTTGTACATGAAACGCAATAAGTATATTTCTGAGATTATGGTTATGTATGTATGGGTATGCCTAGTATAATCATTACTGGACTTTTTCTCCCGAGTGAACCTACCGAGCATTTGGTACCATAAAATTTTATTTTTCGGTCTTTGATTTCATTTGTTTTTTATTTCTTTATCTACTATAGTGTCAATTTTTATTCCAGTTAATTCCATTGAACACTTTGAAAGCTTCTTTTACACTTTTTGCAAATATTTTCATTTCAGTTTTTTAAAAATACCCAGGGTCAGAAAAAAGACAACAACTCGTACAAAAAAACTTCGGTTCCACAAAAATAAAAACATTCACATGCTTTTTTATGACTTAAACTTAAGTCTTTCTCTAACTCGATCTAAATGAAATAAAAAACTAAGTAAAACTAAATTGAAAAAAACGAAACCTCCTCAAAAAGAAACTAAATGAAAAGTGAAATTCATTCAATGTCGTTAACTTGATTAATTTGTTATTTGGCTTGTTGAAATTTTCTTGGCTAAAAGGCAAAACATGAGACATTGTACTGAAAATGAATAATGTATAGAAGTCAGACGAAAAATGTACAAAAATTTCACAGTTATTGATAGCAAGGGAAAGGTGATAAAAGGTTAAAGCCTTCATTTATTTTGTTTACTTTCTTGGTAAACTACTGTATGACAATATTGTTTGCATAAAAAATTTCATGCCTCATGATTGACGCTAAAGGACAGATCATTTTCTGTGTTGAAATGTAATAAATTTTGATGATAATAATGATTTGCCAAAATGGTAATTTAGACAAAGTGCTAATTTAGCAATAACAGCAAAAGGAATTGGCAAATGAGATAAATGTGTAAATAATTATAAATTGTTTGGTAAATTCAAAAGAAAACATCGAAATATTCCCCTTTTCAGAAAAGCTTTTTTGCTAAAAGCTTATTTATAAAAAAGCTTTGCTAGTATTATCTAATATATAGTCTAGTCTATAGTCTAGTCTATAGTCTAGTCTAGTCTAGTCTATAGTCTAGTCTAGTCTAGTCTATAGTCTAGAGTCTAGTCTATGTCTAGTCTAGTCTATAGTCTAGTCTAGTCTATAGTCTAGTCTAGTCTATAGTCTAGTCTAGTCTATAGTCTAGTCTATAGTCTAGTCTATGTCTAGTCTATAGTCTAGTCTATAGTCTAGTCTATAGTCTAGTCTATAGTCTAGTCTATAGTCTAGTCTATAGTCTAGTCTTAGTCTAGTCTATAGTCTAGTCTATAGTCTAGTCTATAGTCTAGTCTATAGTCTAGTCTATAGTCTAGGTCTATAGTCTAGTCTATAGTCTAGTCTATAGTCTAGTCTATAGTCTAGTCTATAGTCTAGTATATAGTCTAGTCTATAGTCAGTCCTATAGTCCTAGTCTATAGATCTAGTCTATAGTCTATGTCCTATAGTCTAGGTCTATAGTCTAGTCCGATAGTCAGTCTATAGTCTAGTGCTATAGGTCTAGTCTATAGTCTAGTCTATAGTTTAGTTCTATAGTCTAGTCTATAGTCTATCTATAGTCAGTCTATAGTCCTAGTCTCTACGTCTAGTCTATAGTCTAGTCTATAGTCTAGTCTATAGTCTAGTCTATAGTCTAGTCTATAGTACTAGTCTATAGTCTGTCTATAGTCTAGTCTATAGTCTAGTCTATAGTCTAGTCTATAGTCTAGTCATAGTCTAGTCTATAGTCTAGTCTATAGTCTAGTCTATCGTCTAGTCTATAGTCTAGTCTATAGTCTAGTCTATAGTCTAGTCTACTAGTCTAGTCTATAGTCTAGTCTATGCAGTATAGTCTAGTCATAGTCTAGTCTATAGTCTAGTCTATAGTCTAGTCTATAGTCTAGTCTATAGTCTAGTCTATAGTCTAGTCTATAGTTTAGTCTATAGTCTAGTCTAGTCTAGTCTATAGTATAGTCTATAGTCTAGTCTATAGTCTAGTCTATAGTCTAGTCTATAGTCTAGTCTATAGTCTAGTCTATAGTCTAAGTCTATAGTCTAGTCTATAGTCTAGTCTATAGTCTAGTCTATAGTCTAGTCTATAGTCTAGTCTATAGTCTAGTCTATAGTCTAGTCTATAGTCTAGTCTATAGTCTAGTCTATAGTCTAGTCTATAGTCTAGTCTATAGTCTAGTCTATAGTCTAGTCTATAATCTAGTCTATAGTCTAGTCTATAGTCTAGTCTATAGTCTAGTCTATAGTCTAGTCTATAGTCTAGTCTATAGTCTAGTCTATAGTCTAGTCTATAGTCTAGTCTATAGTCTAGTCTATAGTCTAGTCTATAGTCTAGTCTATAGTCTAGTCTATAGTCTAGTCTATAGTCTAGTCTATAGTCTAGTCTATAGTCTAGTCTATAGTCTAGTCTATAGTCTAGTCTATAGTCTAGTCTATAGTCTAGTCTATAGTCTAGTCTATAGTCTAGTCTATAGTCTAGTCTATAGTCTAGTCTATAGTCTAGTCTATAGTCTAGTCTATAGTCTAGTCTATAGTCTAGTCTATAGTCTAGTCTATAGTCTAGTCTATAGTCTAGTCTATAGTCTAGTCTATAGTCTAGTCTATAGTCTAGTCTATAGTCTAGTCTATAGTCTAGTCTATAGTCTAGTCTATAGTCTAGTCTATAGTCTAGTCTATAGTCTATCTAGTCTATAGTCTAGTCTATAGTCTAGTCTATAGTCTAGTCTATAGTCTAGTCTATAGTCTAGTCTATAGTCTAGTCTTCTAGTCTAGTCTAGTCTATAGTCTAGTCTATAGTCTAGTCTATAGTCTAGTCTACTAGTCTAGTCTATAGTCTAGTCTATAGTCTAGTCTATAGTCTAGTCTATAGTCTAGTCTATAGTCTAGTCATAGTCTAGTCTATATTCTAGTCTATAGTCTAGTCTATAGTCTAGTCTAACTAGTATAGTCTATAGTCTAGTCTATAGTCTAGTCTATAGTCTAGTCTATAGTCTAGTCTATGTCTAGTCTATAGTCTAGTCTATAGTCTAGTCTATAGTCTAGTCTATAGTCTAGTCTATAGTCTAGTCTATCCGTCTAGTCTATAGTCTAGTCTATAGTCTAGTCTATAGTCTAGTAGTCTAGTCTATAGTCTAGTCTATAGTCTAGTCTATAGTCTAGTCTATAGTCTAGTCTATAGTCTAGTCTATAGTCTAGTCTATAGTCTAGTCTATAGTCTAGTCTATAGTCTAGTCTATAGTCTAGTCTATAGTCTAGTCTATAGTCTAGTCTATAGTCTAGTCTATAGTCTAGTCTATAGTCTAGTCTATAGTCTAGTCTATAGTCTAGTCTATAGTCTAGTCTATAGTCTAGTCTATAGTCTAGTCTATAGTCTAGTCTATAGTCTAGTCTATAGTCTAGTCTATAGTCTAGTCTATAGTCTAGTCTATAGTCTAGTCTATAGTCTAGTCTATAGTCTAGTCTATAGTCTAGTCTATAGTCTAGTCTATAGTCTAGTCTATAGTCTAGACTATAGTCTAGACTATAGTCTAGTCTATAGTCTAGTCTATAGTCTAGTCTATAGTCTAGTCTATAGTCTAGTCTATAGTCTAGTCTATTGTCTAGTCTATTGTCTAGTCTATAGTCTAGTCTATAGTCTAGTCTATAGTCTAGTCTATAGTCTAGTCTATAGTCTAGTCTATAGTCTAGTCTATAGTCTAGTTTATAATCTAGTCTATAGTCTAGTCTTTTTTTGAGCTTGGTAGAAAAGCTTTTATAGGTAAATATAAAGTTTGAGAAAAGCTTTGTGGAAAAAAACTTTTGCTCTTAAAGTTTTCAATATTGGAGAAAGTGCATGTTCAAATGCAATTAATCGCATTGGAAATAGCTTTAATGGAAAGCTTTATTTTAATTTTAAGATTTAATTTAAAATTAAAAAAAAAAAACATTATATAAAAAATATTAAGTCCTCTGTAGATCTTTTAACAAATAATGTCATTCAAAAGTCTGGAAAAGCAATCTCTTTTAATTATTTTAATATATTCTTAAGAAATAATAAACATTTTAATTTACACTTTAATATAAATATCTGACTGACCTCCAACACTTTTATTTAAAAATAAATTTAAATATTTGCCGACAAAAGCAACTAAAAGTTTTCGTTTCTTTTTCTTTTTTTTTCTTTATTATTTTAATTGCAGACACCAAGCCATCACATGCTACAAAGATGAAAATAAACCGTAAGACGACGCCTGTTAAGAAGACACAGAAGAAAAAGCAACAACAACAACAAACAATAAATATAAAAATGCAACACACGGGGACAATAGCGACGACGACAGAGACTACGTCCACATTAACAACACCAATGTCCTTGTCCAACGGATGGCGACTGTTGTTGTTAATGACCATATTTGTTTGTTGTGTGGCAACATCAACAGTTGAGGCACAATGCCCCTGGCAAAGAGACATACCCGATTTACAAACATCCTGCATATGTTCATATAATTTAGGAAGAGAATTGTCAGTGCAGTGTGACCAGGTGTGTAAAAGAAATGTAAAAAGATATTTTATTAGAAATCATAATTTTTATTTTGTTTCTTGTCTTAGGTACACTTTCCCACTTTATTGGAGGCCTTAAATAAATATGCCAAACAAAAACCCATTGATTTGTTGTATGTCAACAATTCCACCGTGGGCCATTTGCCCGATGACATATTTATTAATCTTAGTTTACACAATGTCCAATTGTCCAGTTGCAAAATAACTGAAATTAGTGATGGCGCCTTTAGGGGCCAAGAGTTGGTATTGAAAAATTTAAATTTACAAGAAAATTTACTGGACGAAGTGCCCATAGCCGCGTTACGAATATTAAGTATATTAAATTTATTGGATTTATCCAAAAATCGTATAACCACGATACCTGATGAGGCCTTTAAGAGCTCATCAAAATTGTCAACCTTAAAGTTAAATGACAATAATGTCACTTTGTCAGCGGGTGCTTTTAGGGGTTTAGAGAATAGTCTTAAGAACTTGAATTTGAAAGGCACGAGACAACGTCGTGTACCCGAATGCATAAGAGGTCTCAAGAGTTTAGCCTTTTTGGATCTGTCATTGAATGGCATCAAAGAATTGCCCGGTGTAGGTGGTATACGTACATTTGAAGGTTTAGATTCTTTGACGGCCCTCAATCTGGAGCGTAACTTAATACAGAGTTTGGGTGAATCCTCGTTTGTGGGCGTCCGTAAAACCTTGAGTTCATTAAGTTTGTTAAACAATCTTTTGGCCGAGTTTCCTGTGGGTGCAATACACGCTCTTAAAGAGTTGAGAGTTTTGGATATTGGTTTTAATTTATTGACTACTTTGCCGGAATCGGCATTCCGTGGTAATCCTAGCATAACATTATTGGCCTTGGATGGTAATCCTTTGCCGACAGTACCTGAAAAAGCCTTCTCACATTTGAATGCCACTCTGCGCGGTTTGTCGTTGGGTGGTCGTTTTCTGCACTGTGATTGTAAGTTACGTTGGGTAGCCGAATGGATTCGCAATGGAGATTTGCAGGTGAGTTGAAAGAGCTATTAAGTTTATAGGCTGGTATCTAGTCTATATTATAACCTACAGTTATATAGTCCAGTCCCTATTATAGTCTCCACACAAATCCCTAATCGCATTCACCCTCTTCATTTAGGTGACCTCACGCGAACGTAATCCACAATTTTGTGGCAGTCCTAATCGTTTCCGTGATCGTGGTTTCTATTCCATACAAGCCGATGAATTGACCTGTCCCGATGACAGTGACACCGATCTAAATGGTCCCGTCAGCGTAATCGATACACTACAGCCGGTACAAAAGCCAACCATTGCACCCAGTATAGTGCCTTTAACTGTAAATCAAACACAGGCAAGTGCTTCCAATAATGTTCCAAATGTGGTGTCAACAACAACAGCTGCTCCATCCACCACACGTTTAACAACCTCTACAACAACACCACCCCCTACAAGTCCAGCTACCACAAGCACCACCAATACTCCACGTCCTACAACAACATCGACGACTACGGTGAGTATAAAAACTAAGCAAGTAACAAAAGTACATAAAATAACCTAAAGTTTAAACTAACTAAAGTTTAACTGTCAGCTCAACAAATGTTTCAATTTGTCACCACATACTCAAAGAGTCTGTCGTCATCGTCGGTGTAGTAATAGAAGTGCTAAAATATTTATTTTCTCATTTCATTATAGACCAAAGCAACAGCAGCCACAACTGCTGCACCACCACCTGCTCCCTCCCCATCATCTTCTACAGCCGCCAACTCTTCACAATTACCTGCACAACCAACTTTGCAATCCACATCCGGCATTGGTTCTGCTTCACCTACAACCATCACAAATCCAAATGCTGCAAACGCCAAACCAGTACCTTCTTGGCGCCAAAATGCATCCGGCAGCAGCAGTAGCGGCATTGGCAGCAGTAGTAGTGGCACATCCGTCAGTGGTACACCACATAAACAACAACGACCTCCCTTAGTTTTGGGCTTCCCACCTCAACGTGGCACACGTATTGATGACTCCAACGAGGTGCAAGTGAAGAATGCCTTCCGTCAAGACAGCTCCGTCATCATACAATGGGATTCCGATACAGCAAACATTTTAGGTTTTCGCGTTGTCTATCGTTTGTTTGGTGAGAAATCCTTTAAACAAGGACCCCCACTAGAGGCCAGTGAACGTGAATTTAAAATTAAAAATGTTCCCGCTCAAGAATGCATTATTGTGTGTGTGATATCGTTGGAGGAATTGCATGTAACGCCTGAAACCGTGCCCTATCAACAGTGTCGTGAAGTGCGCACCGTAGCTTCGCAAACATCGAATATGGATAAGATAACGATTGCAGCAAGTGCGGCTATTTGTGGCACCATTATTGTGGCTGTGATTGTTTTTATAGCTGCGAGCAGGTGAGAAGAAACAAACGAACTTAACAGGGAAATTTATTAAAGTGTGTCTGCATGTTTGTATCAGGGTATTTTGAAACGAAACACTGAATACAAAGTGGCCAAATAAAGTGTTGTGTCTATAAAAACGTCAAAAGGAAGTGCATGGGTAGGTGGTTACTGTTCGGTTAGTTAGTTGGGCTTTTGTTGGGCTTTTGTTGGGGATTAAAGTATTTATTTGCAGTTTGTTGGTTTTTATCTTCGCCATGAGTTGTGTAAACGTTTGATTTATGGTGGAAAAATTGATCAGTGATGAATGGTAATGGAAAAAGTAGTTTAAAGAAAAGGAAGGAGTTTTTGCGAAAATAGGATTATTGAATATCTTAAAGGGAACTTTTTTATATATTCAATAGATATCATTTTAGTATCTTAATTAATCTCGCTTACATTTCAGAAATTTGTTTTATAGACATATCTTAAATTTTCGTATTTATAGTCCAGTCTTGTCTAGTATATAGTATAATCTGTGGTCTATTCTTATAGCTTTGTATATATACTAGTAAGCAATTTAGTCTATAGTCTAGTCTATAGTCTAGTCTACAGTCTAGTCTATAGCCTAGTCTATAGTCTAGTCTAAAGTCTATTCTACAGTCTAGTATATAGCCTTGTCTATAACATAGTATATTGTCTAGTCTATAGTCTGATCTATAGTCTGGTCTATAGTCTAGTCTATAGTATAGTCTATAGTCTATAGTCTAATCTATAGTCTAGTCTATAGTCTAGTCTATAGTCTAATCTATAGTCTAGTCTATAGTCTAGTCTATAGTCTAGTCTATAGTCTAGTCTATAGTCTAGTCTATAGTATAGTCTAGTCTATAGTCTAGTCTATAGTCTAGTGTATAGTCTAGTCTATAGTCTCGTCTAGTCTATAGTCTCGTCTAGTCTAGACTATAGTCTATAGTCTCGTCTAGTCTAGACTATAGTCTATAGTCTCGTCTAGTCTAGTCTAGACTATAGTCTATAGTCTCGTCTAGTCTAGACTATATACTACACAATAGACTAGACTATAGACTAGACTATAGACTAGACTATAGACTAGACTATAGACTGGACTATAGACTAGACTATAGACTAGACTATAGACTAGACTATAGACTAGACTATAGTCTAGACTATAGTCTAGATTATAGACTAGACTATAGACTAGACTAGACTATAGACTAGACTAGACTAGACTAGACTATAGACTAGACTATAGAATAGACTAGACTATAGACTAGACTATAGACTATAGAATAGACTAGACTATAGACTAGACTATAGACTAGACTATAGACTAGACTATAGACTAGACTATAGACTAGACTATAGACTAGACTATAGACTAGACTATAGACTAGACTATAGACTAGACTATAGACTAGACTATAGACTAGACTATAGACTAGACTATAGACTAGACTATAGACTAGACTATAGACTAGACTATAGACTAGACTATAGACTAGACTATAGACTAGACTATAGACTAGACTATAGACTAGACTATAGACTAGACTATAGACTAGACTATAGACTAGACTATAGACTAGACTATAGACTAGACTATAGACTAGACTATAGACTAGACTAGACAATAGACTAGACTATAGACTAGACTATAGTCTAGTCTATAGTCTAGTCTATAGTCTAGTCTATAGTCTAGTCTATAGTCTAGTCTATAGTCTAGTCTATTGTCTAGTCTATAGTCTAGTCTATAGTCTAGTCTATTGTCTAGTCTATAGTCTAGTCTATAGACTAGTCTATAGTCTAGTCTATAGTCTAGTCTATAGTCTAGTCTATAGTCTGTCTATAGTCTAGTCTATAGTCTAGTTCTATAGTCTAGTCTATAGTCTAGTCTATAGTCTAGTCTATAGTCTACTCTATAGTCTAGTCTATAGTCTAGTCTATAGTCTAGTCTATAGTCTAGTCTATAGTCTAGTCTATAGTCTAGTCTATAGTCTAGTCTATAGTCTAGTCTTAGTCTAGTCTATAGTCTAGTCTATAGTCTAGTCTATAGTCTAGTCTATAGCTAGTCTATAGTCTAGTCTATAGTCTAGTCTATAGTCTAGTCTATAGGTCTAGTATCTAAGTCTATAGTCTAGTCATAGTCTAGTCTATTCTTGTCTATGTCTAGTCTATAGTCTAGTCTATTAGTCTAGTCTATTAGTCTATCGTCTATAGTCTATAGTCTAGTCTATAGTCTAGTCTATAGTCTAGTCTATAGTCTAGTCTATAGTCTAGTCTATAGTCTAGTCTATAGTCTAGTCTAGTATAGTCTAGTGTATAGTCTATAGTCTAGTCTCTAGTCTAGTCTATAGTCTAGTCTATAGTCTAGTCTATAGTCTAGTCTATAGTCTAGTATATAGTTAGTCTATAGTCTAGTCCATAGTCTAGTCTATAGTCTATAGTCTAGTCTATAGTCTAGTCTATAGTCTAGTCTAAGTTAGTCTATAGTCTAGTCTATAGTCTAGTCTATAGTCTAGTCTATAGTCTAGTCATAGTCTAGTCTATAGTCTAGTCCATAGTCTAGTCTATAGTCTAGTATGTAGTCTAGTCTATAGTCTAGTCTATAGTCTAGTCTTAGTCTAGTCTATAGTCTAGTCTATAGTCTAGTCTATAGTCTAGTCTATGTCTAGTCTATAGTCTAAGTCTATAGTCTAGTCTATAGTCTAGTCTATAGTCTAGTCTATAGTCTAGTCTATAGTCTAGTCTATAGTCTAGTCTATAGTCTAGTCTATAGTCTAGTCTATAGTCTAGTCTATAGTCTAGTCTATAGTCTAGTCTATAGTCTAGTCTAGAGTCTAGTCTATTCTAGTCTATAGTCTAGTCTATAGTCTAGTCTATAGTTAGTCTATAGTCTAGTCTATAGTCTAGTCTATAGTCTAGTCTATAGTCTAGTCTATAGTCTAGTCTATAGTCTAGTCTATAGTCTAGTCTATAGTCTAGTCTATAGTCTAGTCTATAGTCTAGTCTATAGTCTAGTCTATAGTCTAGTCTATAGTCTAGTCTATAGTCTAGTCTATAGTCTAGTCTATAGTCTAGTCTATAGTCTAGTCTATAGTCTAGTCTATAGTCTAGTCTATAGTCTAGTCTATAGTCTAGTCTATAGTCTAGTCTATAGTCTAGTCTATAGTCTAGTCTATAGTCTAGTCTATAGTCTAGTCTATAGTCTAGTCTATAGTCTAGTCTATAGTCTAGTCTATAGTCTAGTCTATAGTCTAGTCTATCAGTCTAGTCTAGTCAGTCTAGTCCTAATAGTCTAGTCTATAGTATAGTCTATAGTCTAGGTCTATAGTCTAGTCTATAGTTCTAGTCTATAGTCTAGTCTATAGTCTAGTCTATAGTCTAGTCTATAGTCTAGTCTATAGTCTAGTCTATAGTCTAGTCTATAGTCTAGTCTATAGTCTAGTCTATAGTCAGTCTAGTCTATAGTCTAGTCTATAGTCTAGTCTATAGTCTAGTCTATAGTCTAGTCTATAGTCTAGTCTATAGTCTAGTCTATAGTCTAGTCTATAGTCTAGTCTATAGTCTAGTCTATAGTCTAGTCTATAGTCTAGTCTATAGTCTAGTCTATAGTCTAGTCTATAGTCTCGTCTATAGTCTAGTCTATAGTCTAGTATATAGTCTAGTCTATAGTCTAGTCTATAGTCTAGTCTATAGTCTTAGTCTATAGTCTAGTCTATAGTCTAGTCTATAGTCTAGTCTATAGTCTAGTCTATAGTCTAGTCTATAGTCTAGTCTATAGTCTAGTCTATAGTCTAGTCTATAGTCTAGTCTAGTCTAGTCTAGTCTATAGTCTAGTCTATAGTCTAGTCTATAGTCTAGTCTATAGTCTAGTCTATAGTCTAGTCTATAGTCTAGTCTATAGTCTAGTCTATAGTCTAGTCTATAGTCTAGTCTATAGTCTAGTCTATAGTCTAGTCTATAGTCTAGTCTATAGTCTAGTATAGTCTAGTCTATAGTCTAGTCTATAGTCTAGTCTATAGTCTAGTCAATAGTCTAGTCTATAGTCTAGTCTATAGTCAAGTCTATAGTCTAGTCTATAGTCTAGTCTATAGTCAAGTCTATAGTCTAGTCTATAGTCTAGTCTATAGTCAAGTCTATAGTCTAGTCTATAGTCTAGTCTATAGTCTAGTCTATAGTCTAGTCTATAGTCTAGTCTATAGTCTAGTCTATAGTCTAGTCTATAGTCTAGTCTATAGTCTAGTCTATAGTCTAGTCTATAGTCTAGTCTATAGTCTAGTCTATAGTCTAGTCTATAGTCTAGTCTATAGTCTAGTCTATAGTCTAGTCTATAGTCTAGTCTATAGTCTAGTCTATAGTCTAGTCTATAGTCTAGTCTATAGTCTAGTCTATAGTCTAGTCTATAGTCTAGTCTATAGTCTAGTCTATAGTCTAGTCTATAGTCTAGTCTATAGTCTAGTCTATAGTCTAGTCTATAGTCTAGTCTATAGTCTAGTCTATAGTCTAGTCTATAGTCTAGTCTATAGTCTAGTCTATAGTCTAGTCTATAGTCTGTAGTCTAGTCTATAGTCTAGTCTATAGTCTGTAGTCTAGTCTATAGTCTAGTCTAGTCTCTAGCCTGCAGTTTATTCTTTCCTGTAATATTTAAAGCTTTTTCCTTTTCAAATGTCGGCATTTTTTAATTACAGTTTTAGCAGATTTACAAAAAAGTCTATAAAACATTAAGCGATCTTATCTAAATTGTAATAATAACAATTAATATTAACTGGCGATTAATAACTAAAACAAAACCGCCACAAATCTAGACACAACCAAAAAGAGGCGTACAAATTTGTTGGCATCTCTAACAAATAGCAATCAAAACCTTCTCGTATATATGTAATTTGCTGCAAATCTCGATATGATGTCATATAACCATAAATATAGATTTAAACTATAGTATTAATACAATACAAACAAACAAATAAAAAAAATGATTTGAAATTTGAATTCACCATCAAATACAGATGATAAAACATGATTTAGTGTTTATTTATTGGCGACTATAACCTTAAATTGGCCCTAAACCATATAATAACTTAACTTGTATAGAGATAGAAAACACAGATGGATGATGATACATATCCAGATATACATACATATAGTAAGTGTAAATTTTTCCTATACATACTTATATCCAACACATAAACTAATGTAAGCCAATAAATATATTTTTCTGTGTTTATTGTTCAGTCGTTAGCCATTGATATTAACATTTTTCAGATCTACAAACTTACATACATGCATACAAGCCCCACACAATATGATGCTTACAGTATTTTCACATATTTCAAATATAAATTTTCGGTTTAATATTTTTTTTTTTTTTTTTTTCATTTCATTTTGCTACAAAATAATAGACGTTCTCGCAAACTACAAACGTCCCAACAAAAGAGTCCACTGCCAATTGGAGGTTTGCCCGTAAATTGTTGCGGTCCAGCCGGTTCACCAGGACCACTTGGCTCAATAGCAACGCTTTCGGCATTCAATAATCACAAGGTAAGCGAAAAAAACAACAACCACAAGAAGAATATATTACATTTACACACTCTTTGTATCTATAAGAAATGACTACAAAGAACAAAAAACTCAAGATTTATGTTCATGACTATAAGAAGACGACGACGACTCACACCAAAGATATTTAGCCAAGGAAACTCATTTAAACCCAATTTATACGAGATCCTAAACGAAGTGGAGAAGTGAATGAATGAGATGTGATACATAAAGCATATTAAATAAAATTTACAGAATTTATACGAAAAGCCAACAAAAAACAAGGGAAATTAAAAATATTAACTAAAATTACAAGGAGATAACCTTAAAATTAACGTGTAGCACAAATAGCACAAGTTATAGGATATGTATGGGTTGTAAACAGTGGGTGCTTAAACCTCTTATCGAGTCAATAGTTTATCCTTAAGTATATTTTAAGTCTAATCTAATGACTGGTCTCTAGTAGAATCTCTAGTTTAGTATATAGTCTAGTCTCTAATCAAATTTCTAGTCTTTAGTCTAGTCTTTAGCATAGTCTCTAGTGTAGTCTCTAGTGTAGTCTCTAGTCTAGTATCTACCTTAATCTTCAGCCAAGTCTCTTGTCTGGTCTTCTGTCTTGTCTCTAGACTAGCTTCTAGTCTCGTCTCTAATCTAGTCCTTAGTCTAGTCACTAGTCTAGTGTCTACTCTAGTCACTACTCTAGTTTCTAGTCTAGTCTATAGTCCCTAGTTAATATTTAAGTATATTTTAAGTCTAATCTAAAGTCTGGTCTCTAGTAGAGTATCTAGTTTAGTCTCTAGTCAAGTTTCTAGTTTAGCCTCTATTCTAGTATCTACCCAAATCTCCCGTCTATTTTCTTCTCGGCTATTCTATATTCTACTCTATAGTCTAGTCTATATTCTAGTCTATAGTCTAGTCTATAATCTAGTCTATAGTCTAGTCTATAGTCTAGTCTATATTCTAGTCTATAGTCTAGTCTATAGTCTAGTCTATAGTCTAGTCTATAGTCTAGTCTATAGTCTAGTCTATAGTCTAGTCTATAGTCTAGTCTATAGTCTAGTCTATAGTCTAGTCCGTCTAGTCTATAGTCTAGTCCATAGTCTAGTCCATAGTCTAGTCTATAGTCTAGTCTATAGTCTAGTCTATAGTCTAGTCTATATACTCTAGTCTACAGTCTAGTCTAGTTTAGTCTAGTCTATAGTCTAGTCTATAGTCTAGTCTATAGTCTAGTCTATAGTCTAGTCTATAGTCTAGTCTATAGTCTAGTCTAGTCTATAGTCTAGTCTATAGTCTAGTCTATAGTCTAGTCTATAGTCTAGTCTATAGTCTAGTCTATAGTCTAGTCTATAGTCTAGTCTATAGTCTAGTCTATAGTCTAGTCTATAGTCTAGTCTATAGTCTAGTCTATAGTCTAGTCTATAGTCTAGTCTATAGTCTAGTCTATAGTCTAGTCTATAGTCTAGTCTATAGTCTAGTCTATAGTCTAGTCTATAGTCTAGTCTATAGTCTAGTCTATAGTCTAGTCTATAGTCTAGTCTATAGTCTAGTCTATAGTCTAGTCTATAGTCTAGTCTATAGTCTAGTCTATAGTCTAGTCTATAGTTTAGTCTATAGTCTAGTCTATAGTCTAGTCTATAGTATAGTCTATAGTCTAGTCTATAGTCTAGTCTATAGTCTAGTCTATAGTCTAGTCTATAGTCTAGTCTATAGACTAGTCTATATTCTAGTCTATAGCCTAGTCTATAGTCTAGTCTATAGTCTAGTCTATAGTCTAGTCTATAGTCTAGTCTATAGTCTAGTCTATAGTCTAGTCTATAGTCTAGTCTATAGTCTAGTCTATAGTCTAGTCTATAGTCTAGTCTATAGTCTAGTCTATAGTCTAGTCTATAGTCTAGTCTATAGTAGTTTATTCTCTAGTCTTGTCCCTAGCCTAATCAATAGTCTACTCTCAAGTCTATTCTATAGTCTAGTCTTTAGCCTAGTCACCAGTCTAGTCTCTAGTCTAGTTCATTATCTAGCATAGTCCCTAGTCTAGTCTCTAGTCCAGTATATGCTCTAGTCTCTAGTTTAGTCCCTAGTCCAGTCTATAGTCCAGTCTACAGTCTAGTCTACAGTCTAGTCTATTGTCTAGTCTATAGTCTGTTGTCTAATCTATAGTCTGTAGTCTAGTATCTAGCCTCTTATCTAATCTAGTCTAGTTCCTAGTCTATTCTGTAGTATAGTATTAACTCTAGTTTCTAGTTTGGCATCAAGTCTCTAGCCTAGTATCTAATATAGTATCTAGCCTATCCTTTGGTCTAGTCACTAGTTTAGCCTCCAGTCTAGTTCTCAGTCTACTCCCTAGTCTGTATCCTACTCTTTAGTCTACTCTCTAGTCTATGTAGTATATGGTATAGTATATAGTCTTGGCTCTAGTCTAGTAACTTAGTAGTTTAGTCTTGAGTCTTGTTTTCAGTTTAGTTCCTAGTCTAGTCTAATATATTGTCTAGTACAGTCCCAGAATAAACCTCTCTAGAATAAACCCTAGAATAGTCTCTAGTTCAGCCTGCAGTCTATTCTTTAGTCAAGCATCTAGTTAAACCTATAATCTAGTTTTTATTCTAGTCTCTAGTCCAGTCTTTAGTATAATCCTTACTTTTAAATTTAATATAGTCTTTAGTGAAAACTATAGAGTAGTGCCTAGTTTAGCCAATTTTATCGTTTTCAATGTCAAAGAACCCACTGTGCATTTTTACTAGCGAAAATAACCCACAAAAAAGAACAACCTTAAAATATATCGAACCCAATATAGCCAAACTCAGTTCGCAAAATCAAAATTAAAATCATTTATCCAAAATGAAAAGCACCGTGTGTTCTGTACGTTACGTGAAATAATGTTAATTATACAGTAACGCCTCAACAGAGTAAAAGTGGCTGGCTTCCTTTATATTTAGCCAGCCAAACAACCAACGAAATTAAGTATCATGGCTCTGCAACTACATGATGCATTCATTCGTCTACCTTAAACGTCTATTGTTTTAAGCCAGAACTTTGAAGAGGCCATTCGGTAAAACAGTCAAGGCTAAAGGCATCATTAAACTAATATTTCTTGTGTTTAGGGTTTTAGTTTTTTCTTTGTTTTGTTTGGTGCCTTTATGCCATTACTTACATTAAACGATTACTTTTAACCAGCCCTTTTTTCTGAATTAAACTTAAATTAGTAAAAGTAACTAGTAACTAGTAGTTAATGAAAAAAAATATGAACGCAAAAAATAAAAACTTGAAAACTTTAAGTTTTCACCAATTTTAAACCCATTCTTTTAGGGGTTTCTTTAGGTTTTTCTTAGTAACTGGAAGTAGTAAGTGTAAGTAATAAGAAATTAAAGTTTTTTAGAGAAATTTAAGTCTAGGTAAAAGCTTTTTGAAAATAAAGCTTTTAAGTTATCTCAGTTTCAATATAATTTTTATTATAATTGTATAAACTCTAAAATTTTCGAATATAAAAAGTTTTTATGTGAAAGCTTTTAAGTTTTCATAACTTTAGATCAGTGTTGCTCAAACACATACTACCATAGAGTACCATAGTTTTATCTGTGTTGGTAAAGCAGCAGAGAACAGAATTCAATTCAAAATAAAAGTATACTAATAAAATGACTATAAACTATAAAGTATATGCTAACTGTCAAATGTTTATTATGGATTTTGACAGCCAGCGTATATCAAAGTCTATATATAAAAAACTAACAACTGTTCTCTCATGTTCTCCTACATTAATTCGGCTTTCTCAAAATTTTGTTGTTGTATTTCTGTGTGTATTTTAAAAACGTCTCGTACAGACCTTGCTTCGACAAGTGCTGATCAGCAACTGATTTGATTTTGTTTTTCAAGTTGAGAGCAAACCCACTGATATTGTTCATTATAAAAAGAAGAAGAATTAAACCTATAGTGTATGTGTATCAACTTAGCGTCAGCAGAATTTTCTTACCCTATCACGCGTGCTATGTAATGGCAATCTTGCGCTCCTCTGCTTTAGATACAATTGCTATTAAAGTTTTTCTATTAAACATAAAATTAAGTAGAAGTAGTAAACAATGAAGCTTTTTAGTATAAGCAATTAAAGCTTTAAAATGTTTACAGCATTCAAGTTTACAGCTTTCAAGTTTTCGAAAGTGCTTTAACTTCGTAGACTTTCATAAATCCATAATTAATTTGTAATCTTTAATCTTTACAGGAATGGGATCAAGTATCAGCATATAGTGGTCGTTCGATACCACGTCCTAGAATATATCCCATGGATAATCAGGATGATATGCGTAGTCATTTCTCGGGTATGCCAGGCAAAATAGCAAAACCCAGGTGAGTTTAAAAAAACATAATACATAATTTAAAGTGCAGTAAGTAGTAAAAAGGTAGAAAACAAACAAAACGGGTCCTAAAGAAAGGAAAACAAGAAACAGGAAATCCACACAAAGGACACATCTCATACAAAAGTATCAACAAAACAAAACATGTCCATAACATATCAGTTAATTTCCCCAAAACATAATTTAATTTATAAACCTACATTTTAAGTTTTATTTATTATAATTTGTTTTATGTTTTAATGCAATTGTTAATGTTAATCCAATATTTCATTTTGCTTCCTCACCCCAACCTCTACCCCAAAAACCCCTTCAACCTCCAACAAATATCACCATACAAAAAAACAAACACACTGAAACACATCACACATACAGCAGATCCATTGCTGATGGTCAATCGCAGCACAGCTTTTCCAATAACTCACATCGCGGCTACTTGGGCACAGCATTTCCATCGAATTTAGTCAATTCGCGACCAGAATTAAGACAATCGAGACAATCGTTAGCTGCTGCTTCGGAAAGGATGTCACGTGCCTCTTATGCCGGTTCTATACATGGCGGCGGCCCACAAAGTGTAGCGTCTAGTACACGTCGCTCAAGACCGCGTTCCAGATCACGCGATCAATTGAATACCACGCACATGCATAATCATCGACCTGGAAGTCGGTAAGTAGGCTGACAAAATCCAAAACAAACAATACGTAAACTTCTAACAAGCAATGGCATACTAAGCTAACTAACTAACTAACTTTTTGCCTTATCATAAAAACAAAAACACCAACAAATTATGTTTTTATTTTCTAATCTTCATTAGCACACTATTTGTGGCAATATTGTCTGTTGTCTTCACTTGTTGTTGTTACTAACTTTTAACTTTACTGCTTGCTACTGTTAGTTGCAATGTCATTTCAAATGCAATTTTAACATGCAACACAACGCAGCCAACCACCTCCCTACTCATCACACCCTCGTGCCCAAACATTCACATTTATTCATTCATTCTCGTGCGAATCATTTAAGATTTTCTTTGGGGATAAGATGGCTTTAATTAATGTCTAACAAGGTTCTTTGGTTTTATGGGACATCTAAATGAAAATAGTATTGCACATTTGCAATGTTTGTGTTAAGACGCACATCCAAACGTTTGTATTCGTAACACAAATTTTCCATTTAAAGAGACACACTAATTGCAAAACACATACATTTTGCTTACTTTGTTTCCAACACAGACAAAATACACACATGCATCATACTGTTGAAATATAAATTAAAAATATTTTTTTTAACTTCTTTAAAAAAAAGTGAAAGGAAAACGTTATTTATTTGATTAGACGGAGCTTTGAAACTTTTCCTTTCAAGCCTATACAAATACTTTCTGTATTTCTTAATATAATTAAAAGCTTTTTCGAACAGCAAAGAGCTTTAATTAGTTAAAGGTCTACTTTCTGAAAACTGCATCATTAGATTTTAAGAAAGCTTAAAAAGCTCTTAAATGGTAATTAAAAGCATTAAAAAACTTTCATCATTCGATTTCTGAAAACTACATCCTGTGAATTCTGTAGAAGCTTATCAAAAAGCTCTTAAATAGTACTTAATTCGATGGTTACAAAATACCAGCCCAAAATAATAATTCTTTGATGGTATTAAGAAAAGTCCATTTTTATAAATTAAGCTTTCTTATGTCTTCTTAAATGTAAAAGCTTTATAAAAATAAATCTTTTTTAAGTCAGCTTCAGCTTTTTATCAACTTTATACGGCATATTTAGCTTTTAGAAGTTTTTAAGCATTAAAATCTTTAAAAGCTCGTACAAATAGTAGGCAGAAAGCTTTAAAAATTAACTTTTTTAATGTCAATTTTATTTTAATGTTTTACGTAAATAAGCTTTTGCAAAGCTTTCTATAGAAACCTTTTATACAAAAGCTTCTGAAATCTTTTTAAAAGCTATTAAAAGCATATTGTTATTGATTTCATATATAAAGTTTTTACAAAAGCTTTATATAAAAATTTTTACATAAAGCTTTACAAAAAACTTTTACAAATACTTTAACAAAAACTTTATATAAAAACTTTTACCAAAGCTTTATATAAAAGCTTTTACCAAAGCTTTATATAAAAGCTTTTACCAAAGCTTTATATAAAAGCTTTTACCAAAGCTTTATATAAAAGCTTTTACAAAAGCATTGCATACAAAAAAAATATAAAAGCTTTATATAAAAATATTAACAAAAGCTTTTTATAAAAGCTTTATATAAAAACATTGACAAAAGCTTTTTATAAAAACTTTATACAAAAACTTTTTATAAAAGCATTCATATAAAAGTGTTAACAAAAGCTTTATATGAAAGCTTTTACAAAAGCTTTATATAAAAAATTTTATAAAAAAAAAACTGTTACAAAAGCTTAATTTAAAGACTTTTTACAAAAGAAATTTCATAAGCTTTAAATAAACTTCTTGAAAAGCTTCTTATATCTTCTTCAATAGTTGCGTAAGAAAGCTTTTACAGAAGCTTAACATAAAAGCTTTTACAGAAGCTTTACATACAATGTTTAAAACAAGTTTTTAAGAAAGCTTTTACAAAAACTTCTAAAAAAGTTTTTACAAAAACGTTTGTAATAGAACTCAATGTAAAAAAGCAGTTTAAAATAAAAATCTGTACAAAAATCTTTTAGTTTCAAAAACCTTCTCGAGAGCTTTTTTCAGAACTTTCTTCTTCTATAAATGGTTAAGGGTTAAGAAAATTAAATAATTAATTGTTTATAAATATTATAATTGAAACTGAAATTGAAAATTGTCTCCGTCTCTCTCTCCCTTTCTTGCAGATACTCAACCGCCGGTTCAACCCACACTCTAAATAACTATTGCGATACATCGGACAATTGGACTGATCATGATATGGATATATACATGGCTAGAAATCCAACTACACGCAATGGTTTAGTGCCATTATGAGGGCGGGTTATGTTATCCTGATATTTCGATGTTGTATTAAATTTAGATGAGATTTTCTGACAATACGTTACGCCTTCCGGTGGTGCCAGTAATAATAATAATAATGGTGCCAGGGAGGCGTATGCATTATATATACAGCAACAATTACAATTACAACAACAACAGCAACAGCAGCAACGTGAACAACAACAACAACAGCAATTACTACTACTACAACAACAACAGCCATATCATTTAAATGAAAATCATTATAATCGCATTAGACGTACAACAACTTCCACAACAGCAGCTTCATCTTCAACATCCTCCTCAATTAACACTAACAATACATCGTATCCACGTTGTACATCACCACCTGATGTAGTGCCAAGATTACAAAATACCCATAATGCAAATAACACAAATACACCAACAACAATACCTGAAGAATTTGAACAGAATGGTATTGTTGTCGAAAACTATTTCAATGAATACGAACGTCAGGAAATTGTACATCATCATCAGCCAAAACGAAAATTAAATTCAACGAATTTATATGCGAATACGAGTGTGAATACGACAAATACAAATAGCGTAAGTGAGGGAGGAGAAGAGTTAATGGTGAATAATTCCATATTCACCTTATCACCAGCATTACAACTTCACCAGCCTGATAATATAGTAGTATATCATCATTCACAACTGCAAGCGCAAGAACAACAACAACAACAGCAACAAATTAACGATTCAACGAGTAATTCTAATGCTATTACTAATAATTCTAATTGTAGCAATAATAACAATAATAATATTATAAATAATAATAATAATTCTAGTTTAAATAAGGAAATTTCTCATAACAGTAGTGATGATAATTTTAGCACCAAATGAAATTAAAAAACTAAAATGTGTAAAAAAAAACTTCTTCATACATTATCACTACAGTAGTTTTTCGATTTAACGAACCTATATGTTGTCAGGCCTGTTCGTTAAATCGAAGAGTTCGTTATATGCAGTACTAACTCGAAAGTGTCTTTTGAGTACATAAATAATTAAAATTACATAAAATCTAATTTATAAAAATATGTTCCAGGAAATATAATTTCTTTAAACAATATTTTATAAGAATTTTATGAAAAACTAGCAATTCATATCACAATGTAAAAATAATAAAGAAATTTGAAAAAACTCTGTTTATTTTGTATAACTAATCTACGTTCTGGAAAAGCACTCGGACGACATAATTCTTAAAGAATTTTAAACCCAATGGCTGGAACTGCGATGAATCTGAACCTGGCCTCAGAATTCCTTAGGAAATAGATTAATGTAAAGTTATTAAAGCGTTTCATTGTTTTCATTCTTTGAGATATCTGAACCCAAAGTTTTTTAAAATATTTTTTCCTTTATTTCACAGCTATTCCTGTAAATATCCTTTTTCCAAAAGAAAAACTATTTATATTGTTTATTCTATAACATGTCGTTTCTTACAATTTCTTAGAATTGATTTTTATTGGAAAAAATTATGGTCACTGTGGGGACTTGTTAGTTTGGCGAAAAATAAAAGCGAAATATTAAGGTATACGATTGGCAAAGTCTTTTTTTGAACACCAATTTCTATGGTTTTAAATTCTGAGGACAAATTCGGGTTGAGCACGAGCTTCTAGAAAAGTATACTTTGGCCTCTCTAAACATTTTTTGTTCCGATTTTCTAATTCGATCAACATTAGTTTTTGCGACATTAAGGATTGTAGATTTGATTATCTTATATTTTTGTATAAATCTTCAATAAAAAAAATCTCAGATTATCTAGATTCTTCATTTTACTAAATTAGAAAAAATCAACTCTCGAAATCCATATTCGAAAGCAATGGAAAAGTAAATACCCCTCCTAATAACGTCGAAGCTTTTCTGACATGATTTTTAGTTATTTTTGTTAATTTAACTCTAATTTAAATTATTTTATTTATATTTGTTCGTTAAACTGAGTACCAAAAATTATTTTTTGTTCGTTATGTAAGGTACTCAATGTAAAAATATTGATAGTTCGCTAAATGCGATGTTCGTAGAAACGAATGTTCGTTAAATCGGAAAACTACTGTATTTGTTATTTGCAAAAATTCATAATTAGAACAACGAAATTATATACATACAATTAACTTTTCTTTTTTTTTATATACAAAAAAATATATAAAAACTTCAAATGATTTCAAGCCTTTGAGAAACAAAAAAAAAAACGAGGCTTGAAATCATTTGGACATTTATTGTTTTATAATTATTCTTATTTTTTCAAAAAAAAAAAAAAAAAAAAAACAAAATAGAGACAAAAACAAAATTATGTATCGATTTTCTAAATTATAGCAATTCTAAAATTTAAGTCATTAATTATATTACTAATCTAAAACTACCTAAGGAAACATATGCAATATTAGAATTAGAACTCATTTTAATTAGATCAACAACAAAGTGGTGCAATTTTTTTTTCGAAAAAAACAAAAATAATTTTGTACAAAAAGTATGTTTATATTTAAAAAAATTTTTGTTGTAACACCAGGTTCTATTTTTTCTATACAAAATATATATTTTCCTTATTTTTAACTTTAATTTTATTTTAAAAATTAACAAACAAAATTGCAATAGTATTTGATTAATAAAACAAAACAAAAAATAAATTAAGATTTTTATTTTTTACAATAAATAATTTTGTGTTTGTTTTATTTATTTTATTTTATTTTTTTTAATTTTCTTTGGTTAAATATTTTAAATAATTTTATTTTGGGGAGCTAAAAATCTACTTGACACAACTTACAGCTACTGCCGAACCCGGCTAAATCACACATCGAAACCAAAATCGTTCAAGGTAACGCAAAGCTTATTCACCACACATTTGATTTGATAGGTTAAGCCAATGAGACAATCGATCTAAACATACAGGGGTCCAATAGCAGAGGCGTTACTCCGTATTCCGATACGAAAGCAAAAGCTAGAGAAACACAATGTATTTAACAAATTCGACCAACTGGCACCGTTGTGTTATGCGAAAGCGGTTCACTAATCGATCCACCCACAGAATCAAATTATCTCGAGGCTATATTATTAATGTCAATTCTCTAGATAGATCCGTTATACCGTGCAGTGACGGACTGCCCAGGCTCACAGTCCTAATACCCGATAGAATGGTTGGCCTCGTAGTCACAACTTTAATAGTATTCGTTGTTTTCTGGATGTCATGTAGATACTAGATAAAGATTAACTATCGTGTTTGCTATCAGTATAGATTCAGATATCCGTGCTGTATATTCATGGTATCAGTTTACCGCTCTCATTTAGTTGAAATTCTTGCCTATAAGATGACATTGAAAAGTCTGACCCTTTGACCGTTAAGGAATTCAGTATATATTTCGAGCTATTCTGTTTACTAAATGAAATGAATCGTTCGTTATCCAAGCCGTAAAACTCTTGTCAGGAAGTACAGTGGGAAAGCAATAGTTGAATTATAAGACTTCCAGATGCCCATAGCGTTGAGTCAAACTACCTATTACAGAGTCAATCAAAATGGGGGTTCTGACCTAAAAAAAGTCATTTAATAGTCTTGGGGTTAATGTTTACCGCACTCATTTAGCTGAAATCTCTGCCTTAAAAAGATGACATTGAAAAGTCTGACCCTTTGCCCGTTAAGGAATTCAGTATAGATTTCGAGCAATTCTTTTTACTGAATGAAATGAATCGTTCGTTATTCAAGCCGTAAAACTCTTGTCAGGAAGTACAGTGGGAAAGCAATAGTTGCATTATAAGACTTCCAGATGGCCACAACGTTGAGTCAAACTACCTATTACAGAGTCAATCAAAATGGGCGTTCTGACCTAAAAAAGCCATTTAATAGTCTTGGGGTTAATGTTTACCGCACTCATTTAGCTGAAATCTCTGCCTATAAGATGAAATTGAAAAGTCGGACCCTTTGCCCGTTAAGGTTCAGTATAGATTTCGGGCATTTCTTTTTACTGAATGAAATGAATCGTTCGTTATTCAAGCCGTAAAACTCTTGTCAGGAAGTACAGTGGGAAAGTGATAGTTGCATTATAAGACTTCCAACTGACCGCAGCGTTAAGTCAAACTACCTATTTCAGAGTCAATCAAAATGGGCGTTCTGACCTAAAAAAGCCACTTAGTAGTCTTAGGGTTAATGTTACAGTATATCCTGCTTTGAAGTATATGAAGCTTTCACTTAAGATTCCATGAAAGTTTAGAATCCAGAACGACGCCAAAATATTTATTACATTGCTCCAGAGGGGGGGGCGACGGGAAAGGACCAATCTTGTATATTTTCAAAAACAGAATAAATTTAGTTTTCCCGGCTTAACACCAAGACCATTGTTAGTTCTCCAACAGCTAAGACGTTCGAAATTAGATCATAATATCTTGGGAGCGTTGTTAATCCGATGTTATTGCTCAATTATTGCGTGTTGATCGCGGAATACGAATTGGTGATCTGGTATAATGCTTGGAAAAACTCCAAGATACTCAAATAGTTTTAATAAACATGACAATAGGCAAATAGGTTTACAATTGTAACCAGTATAAAATAATGTAGTTTTGGATTTCGTGCGCCCTCTTCTGTATGAAGGTCTCTTATTAGTTCATACTTCAGGCTGAAAGATTCTGCATTGTTGCAGTGCTGATCTGTTATATTGCCAAGATCTTCTATAACACTTCATTACAAGCAGAAATGATTCAATTTCTGTATTCGGTAGAATGATTTTAGATTTCGACTGATTGTGCCGCTTCCTCACATTGTAGATTAAGATCAGAGTGGATAACCACAGATGAAATAAAAACTTCGGAAGAAAGTTCATTCCTTAATTACTATTCGAAAAACGTTTTCTTAGCCGTGTATTAAGAGTGTAGATCCAAAGACACATGCGTATACCAATGAAAGCAACATTTTAGATTTGAACTAATCATTTTAAACAAAATTTTCCTTCTAAATAATACAGGGCCCAAATTACGGCATACGATATCAATCGAAATCTCAATAGAATCTAAATGGAGATTTCGATCGATATCGTATGCCATAATTTGGGCCCTGATAACCATTAGTGCAAATGTGCAAGTCTACTCACGTGTTTCATGAATGCCCTTATTATTTAGTTTCGGTCTCGAATAAAGTTCTTTAAGTGTGGA